CCCCACACCACCTCTCCCTGCTGCTGCCCAATTGTACCCATGTCCCTCCTTTTGAGCAAGGCGACTCACATCAAAATAGCCAAGTAGTTGACAAATTTTAGAAAAAAAAAAATAGATGGAGGGTTTTTTTTTTTTTTTTTTTAAGAAAGCAATAGATGGCTCAGACTCAGTGAGATCTTCTCATCTTCCCATGAGACGCTAAGTCATCCATGTTAGCCGCTCCGCTACCCACCCTGTTCCAGCTCTGCTTTCTTCCCCACCAGCCTTGTAGCAGTGCCTCACCTCCTGTGGCTCCTGCTGTCATTCTATCTTTCCTGACACCCACTGATGCACAGCCATCGCCTGGTCTGGGTGTGTGGCTGGTGTCCAGAAACCCTGTACCAGGCCATCTAGTCAACCCAGATGCTCCTTCCACAGACTCGCCCAGGGTGCATTGGAGGGGCTTTTGGGGGACAGCCTGGGTGCGATGGTAGCCAGAGGCCAAGGCACAGTGCACCAGGACACTGAGCATGGCCCTGACACTGCCCCTGCGGGGGAGCAGAGAGATTCTGACTGGGCCCCTTTCCCACTTGGTCCAGCACCAGGGTGGCTACTCTGACCCAAGGGAGCAACAATCAGGTATGGAAAGGAAGGGTCAAGGATCCCTGAGAAGTGTGCTCCCAGATGCTTAAGCCAGGCCTGGACACCCAAGTCCTTCCCAGGGATTAGACATCTCACATCTTCCCTAGGGCCTAGGTGCCCCAGCTTGTCCTGACAGCTCTGACACATCCAGAGACTTGCCTGCACATCCAGAGACTTGCCTGGGGTTTTCTGGGCACGGTGGGGTTTCCTGGTATCTTTGGATACCAGAACACAGGTTCAGTGCCAATGAACAGGGGTGCATGAAGAACGAGAAGCAGGAGACAGGTGAAGGGTTCTGAGATCCTGTCCTCCATGCCTCCGGTCCAGCAAGACCTCACCAATACGATCTTCCCCCTGGTGCCCCACATGTTTGCCCCGATGTCCTACTGCCCTGGGGATTTGGAGCCTTCCAGCCCCACCCCCGCACACAAATGCCAAAAACACAGACTGAATCATGGAATACAGCGCCAGCGTGTTGGTTTTACAGTAGCAACAGCACACATCATGTGGAAATAGTTCCTTCATACTTTTTTTTTTTTGGAGAGGCAGAGTGGACAGTGAGAGAGAGAGAGAGAGAGAAAGGTCTTCCTTTGCCGTTGGTTTACCCTCCAATGGCCACCGCGGCCAGCGCGCTGCAGCCAGCGCACCGCGCTGATCCGAAGCCAGGAGCCAGGTGCTTTTCCTGGTCTCCCATGGGGTGCAGGGCCCAAGTACTTGGGCCATCCTCCACTGCACTCCCTGGCCACAGCAGAGAGCTGGCCTGGAAGAGGGGCAACCGGGACAGAATCCGGTGCCCCGACCGGGACTAGAACCCGGTGTGCCGGCGCCGCAAGGCGGAGGATTAGCCTAGTGAGCCGCGGCACCGGCCGTCCTTCATACATCTTAAGAACACTTTGCTTCAAGTTCTTTAAATCATTTGACATCAAAATGAAAACTTTGTTGTTGGAAATCCCTCTGCATTCCTCTCCCCCTGGAGACAAACGTCTAAAGTCCTAAGAAAACACCCCAGTTGTGGAATGTTGCTCTCCACGTACAGCACTGATCAGTCCCAAAGCTTCCCCCGTGGGGTGCAGAACTGGAGGCTGTGTCTCCATTGGCTGTGCCCAGAGGGGCGTGGCTGTCTCCGTGGGTGGGTGGAGTCTGCCAGGGCTGTCTCCATAGGTGGGTGACGTCCGCAGGGTTGCGGCTGTGTCCGCTGCTTCTGAAGCACTCTCTCTAGTTCAGAAATAGATGTGTCCCTCCCAGGGCAGCACAGCACGGGACGTACTCTCGGCGCACTGCAGTCCAGGACGCGGGTCATGGATCTAACCGCTTCGTTCTCCAGATGGATGCTGTAACTTGTGAACTTGATTTAAAGCTTCCAGGTCATTCAACCAAACAGCGTGGCTTTTAATCCCTTTCTTGTTCTTGTTTGGAAGAGTAAGCCTCCCTCGCTCCCAGAAGGAGCTGCTGGCGGCCCCTCCGGGCCTCCGGAGGTCACCCGGTAGGGGGCTTGGCTCAGGGAGCAGCCCCGGCACAGCGCCCTGGACCTGGAGGCAGTAGCCGCGCCCACCAGCGCGCAGCCAGGAGCGCAGCCCGCCGGGTTGCTCCTCCGCCCTGGGGACCGAGCCGTGCCTCTCCGCCAAGCGCCAGCCGTGATCCCCCACGCACAGAACTGGTCTCTGCTGCCCGACTTTTGGGCCCTTTTGCTCGCTGCGCTGTGGCCGTGCTATCGGCTTTCCTTCTCTCATCCTGCAGTCCAGCAAGGAAACTTGCAGCTAAGTTCTTGCTCCCGGCTGCCCCACGGAATGCGCCTCCTCCCTGTGGTCCATCTGCAGCCAGGTGGCCAGGCTGAGACCGCAGTCCTGCACGCTGACTCGCACCGACCTCTGGGACGACTGACCAGACAGCCCCGCGGAATCGGGCCCCACAGAGCGCTTCGCAGGAGCCGCTGTTGCCGCCCATGTACCCGGCTCATGGGCCATGGTATGAGCCAAGCCGGCTGAAGCCGGGAGCCCTGCTAAGCAGGACAGTTGGCAGCAATGACAAAATCCGAAATCAAAGCTGGGGAAAACATAACCACCGGCAGGCGCTGTGGTGCAACCAGTCTGCGGAAGGAGGAAAGGAGATCCGGTCTGTGGCGGATAGGTCTCCTTTTCTTTCCAATATGAGTGTGTTGAATACACAGGGCATGGTCTCCTGCCCCAGCAGCCCCCTCCGCCTCCAGCTTCTAGGTTTTCCACCCACCTTTTGGATTATCTCATCTCTGTCACAGGCCACCTTCCTCTCCTGACACTAAAAGATCCTTCTCTCCCCTTCCCAAGAGGACACCTCCTCACCTGTGCACAGGTAACCTCTTGTCTCGTTGGACTCAGAGGTGCTCAAATGGCCCCAGAGTCCTAAAACCATTCTTGGCCTTTCCCTCATTCCCCTGGGACTGATCCCACCATGCACCCACTCATCACCAGCAAGGACTGCCCCCACTCCGTACTCACCCTCGCCCTGCAGATCACCTGGCCAGGCAGCCACCCCTCCCTGAGCAGGGGCTCTCTTGCCAAAGCACACATCTGACACAGGTCCTCCAGCTTAAAACCCTCCCCTGCCACCTGCCAATTCAGCATAGAAATGGAGACCCAGGGGGCCAACGTTGTGACACAGTGGGTTAAGCTGCCACTTGTGATGTCCACATTCCATACTGGAGTGCCAGTTTGAGTCCTGGCTCCTCTGCTTCCAATCCAGCTTCCTGATAATGCATTTGGGAAGGCAGCAGAAGATGGTCCAAGTACTTGGGACCCTGCAACCCATGTGGGAAACCAGGATGGAGTTCCTGGCTCCTGGCTTCAGCCATTTGAGAGTAAACCAGCAAATGGAAGATGTCTTACCCCACCCTACACCCTCAACTTGCTCAAATAAATAAATCTTTAAAAACAAAAATAAAAGAAGGGCCAGCACTGTGCCATAGTGGGCTAAGCCTCCACCTGCATCACCAGCATCCCATATGGGTGCTGGTTCCTGTCCCAGCTGCTCCATTTCCAATTCAGCTCTGGGCCATGGCCTTGGAAAGCAGTAGAAGATGGCCCAAGTGCTTGAGCCCCTGCACCGGCATGGGAAACCCAGAAGTCCCTGGCTCCTGGATTTGGATCATCCCAGCTCTGGCCGTTGCAGCCATTTAGGGAGTGAAGCAGCATATGGAAGACCTTTCTGTCTCTCCCTCTCTCTGTCACTCTACCTCTCAAATAAATAAATAAAATCATTTTAAAATTTTAAAAAAATAAAAGAAGAAAAAGAAATGGAGACCCAGGGTCTTCAGGGCCAGCCAGGACCTCCCTCTCCCCCAATTCCCAATGTTCTTAGACTTCAGCTAACTCCGTGGGGGCCGTGGCCTTTTCCAAGAACAAAGACAGCACTGGGCTTTGCTTTCCATCAATGTAGTAAAAATTTAGGAATGTCAGCTCCTAAACCGCTTCCACTTTATACCTTATGGGAACAACTGCACTCGAGTGTTTATAATGAAATTTGTAGTAACAGGCAGTTTCTGCACAATCCTTCACATCCCACCGGGCCCTCACCTCTGTTTTCAGGTGGAAGCCACATTAGCTCTTCTGTGAAAGTTAGTGTCACCAGATGCATTCAAGCTCCCAGGCTCTGCAGCCCTGGCAAGCAGACTCCACGCCTGTCTGCACAGCTTAAGCCACCCAGCAAGTGGCACTTCCTAGGTGGCTGAGGGAGACGGCAGTTGCCCACAACCACACGCAGCCTCCCGTTTCCTTTCTCCCAGAATCACCCTAGATCCACGCACTGTAGAACTGTCGCACGGGTCTGTCAGTGCTTCCCAGAGTGCACTGCATGCTAGACTCACCTGGCAGCTCACAAGCGAGAAGGCGCCAGCCCCAGGGGTCCAGTTCTCCTGGTGCATGGGAAGACCAGGCACTTGTCCTGAGCCCCTGGCCTTGGCCTGGCTCTGTACACACATGCACAGTGGCCACACATGTGGACACCTGTGCTTCACACCCATGCCTTGGGAAAGAGCTGGCTGCATGAAAGCCCATTTGTTTCTCTGTGTGTGACCAGGGTAAAGGAAAGCCGCTTTGAAGGATTTAATGTTTTCACTCCAGTGCATTCCATTCCAAAGGAACGCCTGACTGCCGCTCACACAGTCCTCGAGTTCAAGAAGGTTCACCGTCTGACCACTTCCACGTTCCCCTCCTCATCCCGTCCCTACCTCCCTGCTTCGCGGTCTCACAGGATTCGCACATTTTCCCGGGAGGGGCTTGCTTTGCTTCATAGGGCAGCGGCCGGACCCAGGCTTGTTCAAAACCCCGCCTGCTCCCCAGAAGCCACCCGAAGAGGCTGGCTCATCACCGCCTCCCTCCCGACTCGCAAAACACTTTTCATTTTACCTGGAGATTCGTTGCTCTTTCTCCGTGAGTGAAGTTTGCGGTCCCAACCGACAGCTCTCAACGCTGAATGGAGCACGAGCCAGGGGCAGAACCCTTGCCTGGGCTTCCAGCCCTGAGGGGCGAGGCGGGCTGGCGGCGCCCTCCTCCCACCTGCCTGGCCACGCCCACAGGCGTCACCCCGGGCTAAGTGCCCTTAGCCGCCTGGCGTGGACCGGCAGGATTGGGGCGGGGTGGGGCGGGGGCGGGGCGGGGGCTTGCCCTCCCCGAGAGCTGCTGGCGAACCACCGGGGCGTGGGGGAGGCCGGCTGCAGAAAACTGGCTCTAGCAAAAGGCCAGTGCGCCTCAGCGCTTCCTGCGGGCTGGCCCCGACTCGGCACCGCTAGCAGGTTCTACCGGAGGTGGCCAAGGACGTGGAACAGGATTTTTCCGTAAGAACAAGAACTGGGGAAATCTAAACTGGCTGAATATTCTGCATTTTCGGAGTTCTCCACCAGAGTGGGTAAACTTGATCAGAGGTCTTTATTTTACTACCCTCCCGCTTCTCCCAGGACAGTAGCCAAGGTTAAGCTGGTGGAAAGTTCTCTGGTACGTGCACACACCCCTACACAGAGCCCTATCAGCTGTACACACACAAACACACAGAAGCACACACATACCACAAGCCGACACCACACACAGAGACACGAATTACACACAACATACAGACACACAGAAACACATAAGCTACACACAAGGAACACAAACAGACACACACAGACTACAAGCAGGCACCACCTACACAGACGCGAACTACACACTGTGCACAAACACACACAGAAATAGAAATAGGCACACACAGAGACATAGGAGCTACACACAGACACGTAAATCACACAGGCACTGCTCAGGGATTGCAAGCAGTAGAAGCTCTTGGCTCTGTCCACAGTGTAACAGCAGAACCCCAAACAGTGTCCTTATCAGAGATGCCTCCATAAATCTCCCCAGGACACTCGCTTATTCAGGGAGCAACTGCCACCAGATATTTGGAAGCCACGTCCTTGTAACAAGCACATTACAGAGCAACACGGCACATCCTACCCAGAGTGGCCCAGGTCTGCCCAGCAATCGGGGACCAAGGGTACCTGCAGCACCGGGGGCACAGGGACACCACAGTCCCCGGCCATGGGTCCAACCTCTGAGATTACATCCAGCACTGCATTTGCCATCTCAGTCTCTCTCAGACTGCCATGCGCATCAGGTGTGGCCACAGCTCACAAGCACATCCGGTGACCCCCTCCTTGTAGGGCAAGAGGGGCACAAGGAGCCTGCAACCACGAAGCACCAGCTCCCACCCGAGATGTCAGCTCATCCTCACTCATCCTCTTCCAACACCTTGAGAGACTTTCACAGGGCAGATGGTGGCAAAAGGGCCATGTGGAAGCAGCCTGAGCAGACGGCATGCACCAGAGGAGAGCCGGGGTGTGCAGGTAGGTCTGTCAACAGAAGGACCGCGAAGCACCAGCAGGGCAGACACGGCCAAGCATGCTCTGTGTATAGCTGCTAAATGTTTGGAGTCCAGGCCTTGGCCCGGCATGGCCTTAATTATGGAGGAAACCCCACTTGTCTGCCAGGAGCAGGCTCAAGTGAGCAGACCAGCGTGTCCCAAACCCAAGAGTTGGGACCCTGGGGAGGGCACTGTGGGGCAGGACTCAGTTGCTGAGACAAAGTCCCCACACCTCCCTTCCGTTGTCTCTAGGATTCTTAGTTGCCATCAGTCAGTCTGCTTGGTGGTTGAAGCCACATCTATATGGGGTTTCCCTTGCAGGCAACTGCGCATGAGCACTGAACGGCAACAGCATTGTCGGAAGTCTACAGTAGCTTAACTCGAATGACCTGAGTGCCTTGAGGGGCACTTCTGTGATCAGAAGTGACTGGAGTCAGTCCAGGAAAGATGTGGCTTCTCCTGAGCTGGGAAGATTTGGCTCCAAAACAAGATCTGACCACAGATTTACACCTTTCTTGGAAGATCAGGAAATTCTCAGGGGAAACTTCCAAATAAAGCCTCCCTAACACTTATTAGCCAGCAGTAGCATCACTGGAATCAGACCCAGAGGTCAGCTGTGGCTTTTTTGAAGTACGGAGCGTGGAGTGCACAAACACTGGCATGTATCTGCGATAGATTTTGTTTGAGTCATATGAGTGGTGGGTGTTTGTGACGATGTGAGTGCCTATTTTGTGTGTTTGTAGGTGATCCAGTGAAGGTGCCCCTGGCCTCTCATCCTCAACAGACAGGCGTGACTCAGAGGAAGAGGGGTCCAGGAAGGGTAAGAGGGTCTCAGAGATGGGCAGGCCTGAGCAGACCCCCCTGGAAGAGCTGCCTGCCTGACCACAGCAAGCCAGGGCGAAGAAAGAGATTCCCATCCCAGCTGCCCAGTCCCCACTTTGTGGCTGCAACTTCCCTTTAGGAAGCCTTCACCCCAAGGGTCCCTGGGGCCACACACTTTGCCTGCTCAGCCCAGCCTCACCCTGATTCCCAGAGATAAGGGAGAAGAGTGCTGGGCAGGAGACAGGGATGCTACCCTCTGCCTCTGGGCCCAGGTTAAAGAGTAAACTGAGAGTTTTCCTGAGAAACAGGCAACATCAAATGCCAACTCTCATGGTTTCCCTTGTTCTATAGCTGTGTAACAAGGATACTCTGAGTTTAGTGACCAGACTGGCAAGTATTTGATCACGCTCCTAGATTCTGCAGGTCTGGAATTCAGAAAGGTACAGGGGAATGGCTCATCTATGCCCCACAACAGCTGGGACAGTGCGAAGGCAGGAAGGGACTTTTGGAACAGTGGAACTATTTTGTATGATTCTATTGTGATAGATGTCACTACACATTTTATACAAACCCATAGATTGTGCAATACCAAAAGTGAACCTTGTGGACCCTGGGTGGTGGTGATTTGTCATTGTGAGCTCATCGGCTGCACGTGTACCAGTCTGGCAGGGATGTGTGTAGTCAGCGAGGTGTGTAACTGGGGGGTGGATGTACATAGGAAATCTCTGTGTCTTCTGATCAATTTTGCTGCAAATTTGAAAGTGCTCTATTCAATAACATCTTTTTGTTATTGTTAATTAGCAACTTGAATATTCCATGTGTGTAGAGAGGAAGGAAGGGTATAGAGAGGTAGGAGGCAGTTCCAGGGAAGACCCAGGAGTCAAGACTCATAAACATCCCCCTAGGGCCAGCTCAAGTCCTAGAGGGTGCAAAGCTGAAGGTTCTACAGGGGCGGGGACAGGCCAGGTTATATATATATATATGGTGGAGGTCCAGGATGGGAAGAAACAAGGAGTTCTGAGAGCTGATGACCTCCCGGGGAGCCCCACACAGGAACTTCTCACAGGAGTGCTCAAAGCAACTGCTCTCAGCTAAGCAACCTAATGCCCACGCGTTGTCTCCTCACATGATACAGAAAAGTTCCCCCAAGGCCTTCCTGGGGCCAATTGTGGCACATACAGGGAGAAGGGTGGAACTAGTGCTAGATGACTGGGAACCAGAGGCTGGGGACAAGGGCAGTGATGGTCACCTTTGCCCAGGACCCTAGTGGGTTCCTTTCCTTCCCACACTGGCTGTCTGGTGGTTGGTCTGTGTGTCTGTGTGTTTATATTTCTGGATCAGAGCCCCTGAGAAGTGGACTGGGCAGCAGATGGTGGAGGCCCTCTTGGAGACATGACCATCACCTCTCAGTCTTCCTCTGCTGGGGATAGTCGTCAGAACCTCACATAGGATGAAACCCTGGGACCTGTGAAGCTGGCTGCCAGACTGCATGGAATCCTCCGCCTATAAAAAGGCAAATAGGCGCAGGTTTTGGCGCAGTGTTTAAGATGCTGCTTGGTACACCCACATCCCATATCTCGGGGTGTGGCTTCCAGTCCCAGCTCCTCACCCAATTCCAGCTTTCTGCTAGTGTGCATCCTGGGAGGCAGCAAGGGAGGGCTCAAGTACTTGGGCCCTTGCCACGCACTTGGAACACCTGGGGCCTGGACTGAGTTCCCGCCTCCTGGCTTCACGCTGGATCAGCACTTGCAGTTGCAGGCATTTGGGGAGTGAACCAACAGACAGGAGCTCTCTCCTTCCCTTCCCTTGCCTCCCCTCAGAAAAATAATGTTTTTTAAAAAGGAGACATGGTGAATGAGTACAGTCTGGGCAATTTCTGGGACCTCGGATCAGCTTGGACTCACTGGCCAAATGGCTGCAAGCGGACCTGGCCTGTTGGGACCCCAAGGCAGTGACCTGGGGCCCACACCTCCTGGTGTCTGGCAGGGTCCCAGTGCCAGCCTTCGGGACCTTGCTGGCTCCTCTCAAGGCCCAGTGTCCTCCCGCTGCCCTGCCCACCTGCCCCAACTCCCTGCACCATGTGGTGCCCCACACACCCCTCCACCCTGCTGGTGATTGAGAAGGGGCCATCTCCACATCCCACATCTGCACCTGCACGAGCACCTCTGCTAGGACCTGCGTGTCAGCCACAGGTTTCTGAGCACCTGCACTGAGACCAAGGTGTCACTTCCCGGGGTACCATTGTCACTCCAAGGAGCTCAACTGCGGCAAGCGTGAGAAGAGGGGACCCCGGCACTGGAGCACACAACCAGCTTGGGGCCACAGCGGTGCCACATGAGGGAAGTTTCCTAGGGACTGTGCCAAATACCTGTGGCCACGGTGGCCAGCCAGCAAGAGGGAACACAGAAGGCTGTGGACAGCTCTGACCCTGGTGGCAGAGCTTACAGCGCTTGGCGCCCACAGCGGAACCCAGCCGTTCGCAGCAAAGGGCTTTGGGGCCCGGCTCCGCAAAGGGCCAGAGCCGAGGGCCCGCCTGTGGTCCCTGGGACCAGCCCGCGCGCCTGGACCGCAGCCTCGCGCACCGTAGACAGGGAGAGCGCGCGCGCGCGCGCCGGGGCGGCCCGGTGACTCCCCCAGGCCGCTGGCCCTCGGCGCTCTCCTGACCCCCGGCTCCGGCGGGCCGGGGTGGACCTGCGGCGCCCGGGACCCTTGGTGGTCGGCCCGCCGCACGGCTGTCGCAGCACCGGAGCCCACACAGCGCCCGCGCAGCCCCGGACCCTTGCCCTCCTTCGCGCCGGCCTCGGAGCCGGAACCACCTGACGCCGCATCCTGTGA